GTCTAGAGCCCATATTTACGGACAAGCTTTAGCAGATCGTCCCCCAGACACTCTCGTTGAAAACATAAAAGACGTCTGTAGACGTCTTTGGCAGCCAATGAGTTAATGTTTCAGAAGGGTCATGTTTCCCTCTTTTCTCTGACCGCCAGGAAACGGGACCATCGACTTCCCAGAGTTCCTGACGATGATGGCGAGGAAGATGAAGGACACGGACAGCGAGGAGGAGATCAGGGAGGCCTTCAGGGTCTTTGACAAGGTGAGAAACAAGAAACAAACACAAACTCCTCAGTCTGGACTAAGGATATCCCGATCCCGGCCTATCAGAGCATGTGTTAAAGTCTAGTTATTTATCTACTTACTTAGTTGTCAGACTCATGTTGAACAGGGATTTACTCTGATAACAACTTAATGGTTAGGACACAGACCTGTGGGTTACAGATGCTAATGCTAACGCTAATGCTCGTGTGGGATCGAACTTTAAAAAAAAAAAAACTGGATCTGGAGTCTGGATCTGTGTTTTTTTCCTGCCGGCCGATCAGATCCAGATATCGGATCAGGACCAGTCCAGTCCAGAAGCTTTTAAAGCTGTTTTTTGGGGGATTTTACAGCAGGTTTCTTTTATTTTAAAGCTGTTTTGGGGGCTTTTAAAGTAATAGTCTGGGTTAACATTTTCTCCTGCCGGCCGTTATGCAGTTTTTTGGGAATATCAGCGGCCGATTGGATCCAGATATCGAACCAGCCTAGACCAGAAGCTTTAAAAGCTGCTTTCGGGGGGTTTTAAAGCAGTTTTTTAAAATTTTTATTTTAAAGCTGTTTCGAGGGCTGTTAAAGCCATTTTTGGGGGTTTAAAACTCTTTTTTGGAGCTTTTAAAGCAGTTTTGGGGGATTTTACAGCAGTTTTTTGGATTTTAAAGCTGTTTTAGGGGATTTAAAACTATTTTTGGGGGATTTTAAAGCTGTTTTAGGGGATTTAAAACTATTTTGGGGGGATTTTAAAGCTGTTTTTGGGGATTTCAAATTATTTTGGGGGATTTTAAAGCCGTTTTGGGGCTTTAAAGTAGTAGTCTGGATCTGCATTTTCTCCTGCCGGCCGATACGCATTTTTTTGCAAATATGGGCGGCCGATCGGGTCCAGATTTCGGATCGGGACCGGCCTGGTCCCAGATTTCTTCCTGGGGGGTCTAACTTCTCTCCCCGTCAGGACGGGAACGGCTACATCAGCGCGGCGGAGCTGCGTCACGTGATGACGAACCTGGGAGAGAAGCTGACGGACGAAGAAGTGGACGAGATGATCCGGGAAGCTGATATCGACGGGGACGGACAGGTCAACTACGAAGGTACACACACACACACACACACACACACACACACACACACACACACA